AAAATGATATCACTATCAATTTCTAAGACTTTTAGGGGGCTTTTTTTTTTTATCCTCACTCAAGGACATTTTTCCATTCTTTGTTCAGATAGAGCCAGAGGGAGAGAGAGGAAGAGAGAGAGAGAGAAACATCGATATGAAGGGACACATCGAGTGGCTGCCACCCGCATGACCAACCAGGGCCAGGGACAAACTGCAACCGAGGTACATGTCCTTAGCGGGAACCGAACCCGGGTCTCTCTGTACCGCAGGCCGACGCTTCAACCGCTGAGCCAAACCGGCCAGGGCTTAGGGGGCTTTTATAGTAATAAGATTGTATGTATGGTAATAGTATTGCTTCTTGAGTTTCCTCATTCCATTTTCAGCTTTCCTTTTTTTTATCCTCACCCGAGGACACTTTTGCGTTTATCTTCAGATAGAGTGGGAGGGAGAGAGAGAGAGAGAGACATGGACTGGTTGCCACCCACATGACCCCAACAGGTGCTTGCAACAAACTGTAACGGAGGTACGTGCCCTTAGTGGGAACCAAACCTGGGTCTCTCTGGACCACCGGCCGATGCTCTAACTGCTGAGCCAAACTGGCCAGGGCCCCGTTTTCAGCTTTATTGAGTTTGTCAAATCAGTCTTCACTCATTTATCAGCTTTCCAGTGTCCAAAACGTTGATGTTCTTGTCTCCTTTATCATGTTTGCCGTTCTTGTGAATTTATGCCATTAAAAAATTGTCTTTTCTGTTATTTTACTGAGTTTCATAAGAGAGCAGAAGTGTGTGTTCAATCTCTATTTTTTTTTTCTTTTTTCTTTTTGATTTTTAGAGAGGAAGGGAGAGGGAGAGATAGAAAGATCATTGAGAGAGATCATTGATTGGCCATCTCCTGCACACCTCCCACTGAGGATTGAGCTCACAACCTGGGCATATGCCCTGACCAGCAATCGAACCAGAGACCTGGTTTAGCATGGGTAAATGCTCAACCTCCATTCTTAATGCAAGATCAGAATATGATACATCACATTCCAAAAGTGCATCTCCCCTACAAATAGTTGGAAAACTTTACATTCCTAGCAGCACAGAAAGAAAATATCCACTTACCTATCTTAACATTCCATATTGTCAAAATTCCCCAATCTGGTTAAACTCTCATTATTTAAATTTTAATTATCCTGATTACTACTGAGGTTCAGCATAATTTTACATGTTTATTGGCTCTTTATGTTTCTTCTACTATGAATAACCTGTTCATATATAGTACCCACTTTTTAAAATAAGTACTGAAGAAGATCAGAACACGTTATCCAAAGTGTCCCAGTTTGACATATCGATAAAGCTGAAAGTGACTGTGAAAAAGCACATAAAAGAAGGGCTCTCAGCCCTGGCCAGTTTGGCTCAGCGGTTAAAGCGTCGGCCTGCAGTCCGGAGAGATCCGGGTTCGGTTCCCGCTAAGGGCACGTACTTCGGTTGCAGTTTGTCCCCGGCCCTGGTTGGTCGTGCGGGTGGCAGCCACTCGATGTGTCCCTTCACGTCGATGTTTCTCTCTCTCTCTCGCTTCCTCTCTCTCCCTCCCACTCTATCTGTACAAAAAATGGAAAAATATCCTCGGGTGAGGATAAAAAAAAAAAAAAAAAAAAGAAGGGCTCTCAGACCTCTCTCTTTCTATCTAATACAGGGCATAGAATTTCCCATGAGAAAGGTGACCTCCCTGTACAAAGAAGAGAAGGTGTCTTTTGTTTTTTAATCCTCCCCCGAGGATATTTTTTCAAATATCTTCAGATAGAGTGGGAGGGGGGGAGAGAGATAGAGAGTGAGAGAGAAACATCGATGTGAGAGAGACACATCAACTAGTTGCCTCCCACACAACCCCAAGCAGGGCTGGTGATGAACCTCAACAGAGGTACATGCCCTTGACTGAAATCGAACCCGTGACTCTGGTCTGTGGCCGACGCTCTACTGCTGAGCCAAACCAGCCAGGGCGAAAAGAGCAGTCATATCACTAGAGACAAGAGTTGAAATCAAGATTAATACACAGAAACAAACCTACTAAAATAATCCTTGTGTTTAATTAGTTATCCCCATATATTTCCTAGTCATATTCCCCAAATTTGTCAACTCTAGCCCAGTCCTCTTTTTCCTGTCATGTCAGTCTTCACAATTTATATTCATTATTAAAACAGTATGTAAGCTCTCAAACCTTTTTTCTTATATGTGAAGACCTCCATGTCCATGTAAAAATGTTAAAAGAAAAAAAAATTGTATGTTCTACTCCTGTTAATCTATCTTATGTAAGTTTAATTGTTAGGCCCAGCCACTGGACTAAGAGGGCAGAGAAAGTATCTTTCCTCCTCTATAGTGGTTTGCCTTTTTCTTTTTCTTTTCTTTTTTTTTTTTATCCTCACCGGAGGATATTTTTCCATTTTTTGTACAGATAGAGTGGGAGGGAGAGAGAGGAAGGGAGAGAGAGTGAGAAACATCGATGTGAAGGGACACATCAAGTGGCTGCCACCCGCACGACCAACCAGGGCTGGGGACAAACTGCAACCGAAGTACGTGCCCTTAGTGGGAACCGAACCCGGGTCTCTCCAGACTGCAGGCCGACGCTCTAACCGCTGAGCAAAACTGGCCAGGGCTGGTTTGCCTTTTTCTTATTGAATAGTCCATCTTTATCCACTGATTTGAAATGTTAGATTTATTAACTACTAAAGGCTTATGTGGGTGTTTTTTGGTTTCTGGATTCTCTATTCTTGCTCATCGATTTGACATCTTATTTATTATCAGCTTTTCAAAACTGTACTTCATCTAGGAAATATCCTTGCAAGAAATTAAATGGGAATATGTTAACATCATAAAAAAGACCAATTAGAGATTGAAATAAAATGTCTACTTTAATATTGATCACACAAATGTTTACTTACATTTATCTGAAAATTATGAGGACAACTTGCACATGACATATTCATGTTACTACCATGTAAGAACGACACATAATCATTTATTTACCTATATCAGGATAGCATACAAAGTTTTTGTTTGTTTAAGACCTCTCAGTTAAAAGCAAACACTCCATAAGGAAAATGAATTTCCAAGATTGTTATTAATAATAAATATAATAAAAATTATATCTAAATGTCTTACATTTTGACAACTTTGAATTATACTTACATGCTATCATTTCCAAAAAACATAAATTACAAGGGTCACTGTCAGGGTGTTATATATATATTTTTTTAAAGCTTTTTTTTTTAATATGCTATTATTATGCTTTAACATCACTTGATTTATTCTTGGCACATGTGGCATCTTGGAAAGTAAAAATACACTTTGCCAATTTTACGTTATTGTGCAGGTATAAGAGAAAGAGCACAGTTTGGGAGGCAGATATACCTGTGCTGAGTTACCAGCTTTGTCCAAAGTTGTGTTGTGTGAGGCTGGTCAGTTACCTCTTGGCACTGGGGCCAGGATTAAATTAATAATGCACATTTTAAAATTCATAGCATGGGCACTAAATGAATGATAGATGCTTTCCCCAATTTATTCATATTAAAGCAATTGTAAAATACCATAGTCTTATGTTTTTATACAAATTAAAAAACTGAAAAAATTTTTAAAAATAAATGTTTTGAAAATTTGCACTTTTAAGAAATAAAGAAAGCCTTCATCACGTTTAAATATTTCTCAATAAAAATTAGTGCCTACTATACCCTGATTTTAAAAAAAGGTATGATAAAATGGTCAATGGTTAAGGACTTTTGGTTTTCTTTTGTGCTACTGATATAAAAATAATGGCTATATTTAAGGCTCGTCAAGTGATTGTTTGTAGTTGCCCTGAACCAAATTTATATTCTTGATGTTGCCCTATCAACTGAAAACAGACCTACTGCCTTGAATGACTGTCATAGAGAAACACCCATGATATTCTACATATGAACAATCATGGCCTCCTTACTGACTTCAAATAAAGGTTCATTTGGTGGCATGTGGCAGTACAGCTTGTCTGTCATTAATGACGATTCTTATATATACAATCACATATCCATCTTTCTCATACTGAATACTTGTATTTGGAAGATCTAAGATTCCTGAAAATTAAATTTAAATTGTCACAAGGAATAGCCTATTCTAGACAGCAATGCTTCCATCACTGTCTTGAATCAATTTCTGTCCTACCCTGACCACCTGGCAAATCATCCTTCTAAATCTGACTTAACAACCCCTCCTCCAGGAGCCTTTCCCTAACCAAATTTCACATCCCTCCATTCATGTCCCTGACGCTCATCTATAATTTATATCAACTTCAATCTGCATATATTACTCATATTTTGTTTGCCTTCTACTTCCAGCTGGGATGTAGTCTCTTTGACTTTTTAAGCTTCCACAGTGTTGAGCACAATGCTGTGCATGTATGTATGTGACTCTGTGTATGCATGTGGTGTGTATGCATGTGTGAGTTGAGTGAATAAAAGACTAAAGAACCTGTAGGGTAGAAAAAGTTTCATAATTTTTCAGAAATCAATTGCTGCATCTTCCTAAAACTAAAACTCTGACTTCCAAAGCTATTTTGGTTTGGCCTTGGACATGTCAATAATAAAAAGGCAGTGACAAAAACTTAAAAAAAAATCTATATGAAATATTCCCCAAAGTTTTTAAATAAATTATTAAGAACGCCAAACCAAAACATTTTACTAAATAGTAATATATTCTTTCCTATAACTTCACAAATGTAGACTTCATTTCATTCAAGACAAAGAATACTGAATAGGAATAGGTGTTGTGAATCAGGATTTAAAAGGCAATTCACTCTAAGTCAGTAGCTAATGCACATTTTGCAATTAATTTGAAAAACCTGTGGTACATAGGTATGTTATGTTAAGTAAAAGAATGGTTTAGATCAGGATGTTGTAGATCTCTACAGTTGTTTTGATACTATAAAATATGACATATACTGAAGCTGCTATTTCACAAGAAAAATGTTGTTTATAATAGCTGTTAATATTAAAATAGGATATAATAAAAATTATCCTCAATGTGTATATTTTTCAGGTTTGCCTGACAGTGTCCTTTTGAGAAATCTGACAATTTGTAGATTACAGACTTTTGAATTTCACTTTTATGATTGAAAGTATTACACATACATAATAACAAACAACAATATATAACATCTTTTTACTGAAGCACTCTGCAATTTACATTTAAAGCTTTGCAATAAAACAAAATTCATTATACTTTTGTAAGTAAAATTATACAACATATAATGTGATAATTACATTAAGAATAAATAAAATGAAGCATAAAAATTCTATATCATAAAAGATTTTAGCTGTCATTCTAAATCTTAGTTTATATGCTTGTATCGAGTTCTAATGTATTGTAAACCAAAGAACCTTTACTTTTAAATAATATACTAAAAATATCAAGTTTGGAGTATAAACATAACACTTTTTATATCCCTTTTCTAGGTCATCTAGGAAATAAAATAAGACAAATGGGAGGCAAGGGCAGTTCTCTTACTACAAAATGCCTCCTTGCTTCCCATATATTTTTATGTCACTTCTGGAGCACATATTACAAGATGACAGCTTTGGCAAATTATAATCTTACTTAAGAGTTTTATTATTTGGAGAAAGAAAAAAATTAAAATTAACAACTTTCTTTTTTGGCTTATTCATTTTCAACCTTTTTTTCCCTTCAAATATACAACAGTAGTATAATAGCACTTTTTGAAATGCTCACCATGAATCATTTTAATCACAAAGTGAATTGGATTAATTTATAGAATTAATCTAAATAGGTTATCAGTACAGGTACTAGGGTGAGGTCCTAGAATTTGTTACACGTAGGGCTAAACTTGCAAGAGATCGCATGGCAAAAGTAGAAACTTTGTGACATATCCCGGCTTTTGCAATATAGTTAGAAGCCAGTCGAAAAAGCCTTTCAGCACCAAAGGTATTGAAGTGCCCAGGAAGCACCTTCTCTACCAGACCTCTGTCCACTAGTTCTATCAGACGTTCACAGGTTCCAACATAGTCACTTATCCTGCTGTATGGGAGCCAATCAATCAGTGATCCATCATACACAACGTCTCCACTGAAGAGAATCTTTCGGTCTTTGTCATGTAAGCAAATACTGCCCCTGGAGTGACCCGGCATGTGCATAACAGTGAGCTGTCTGTCACCAAGGTTGATTACATCCCCTACAAATGAAAACAGAGTTTACAGATAAGCATGTTGTATGTATGACTTCAAATATTTAAAGAATGGAAGAACATTAAATGGTTTCAAAGAGGTTGGGAAGGATGGCACTTATTTTACTTTTATTTTTAAAATACCTTATTTGTTAATGATGACTTAAAAATAAGTTGCCTATGTTTCATTTCTATTGCTCACTAGACCAGTGTTTGCCAGAGTGAGTAATGTGGAACACTATTTCTGCAGGTTGTTATGATACATAAAAGAGAAGAAGAAGATTTTTGTGGTCAAATAATTTTAGACACTCTTCAAAGAAAAGTAAGCAGCTTTCTTTTCTGCAAGGCTTCTTAGAGCTTCTGATATGCTAGTGTACACTGTGGATATATATGAGGGAGATATGGTTGTACACTTTCTCAGATTTATTTGACCACAAAGTTTTTATTTTTTAGAATATCCATGGTACCAGTATCCTGGTGACACAATTCATGAATGCTGCACTAGTGAACAGTGTTATATTTTTGCCCCTTGTTTTGTCTCCTTGTGGGAACTAAGGCTTGAGGAATTGGTACAAATGATGATGCTCCAATGGCTACTATATTTGTGAGTAATAAACTGTCCTTAGCATCTAACTCAAGAACCTCATGTCTTCTATCAGAACCCATTAAACTGTGGCAGACTAACATATTAACTTGCAAATAGGGTAAAATCTCATACTCTTCCCAGTTATTTGATAGTGGGAGAAAATTGAGCTATATGAGTGCAAAATTGCTATTTTACTGGGTATAAATAAGTACTAGCCTATGTAAATCATCATAAGTTAAAAGTTTCCTACCGTTATCTCCAGTGCAAATACACTTATAGAGAAAAAAATCAAAGAAATACAGTTATAAAGTTAATAGAAAAATTAAAGTGTAACAATCAGGACTTGTTAAACATAAAAGAATATAATACAGAAAGAACAGGGGGATAATCAAGAAATAAGACACAGAATACAACAAAATGGCAGACCTAAGTACAACTGAATCAATAATTACATTATATATGAGTGGGATAAACCCTCTAATCAAAGGCAGAGATTAGAGACTGGATTTTAAAAAGCAAGATATATGTCAGTCAAAATAAGAGAAACTATAAGGTCAAAGACAAAAATAGGTTTGAAAAAGTTATATGGCCCTGGCCAGTTTGGCTCAGCGGTTAGAGCGTCGGCCTGCGGTCCGGAGAGACCCGGGTTCGGTTCCCGCTAAGGGCACGTACCTCGGTTGCAGTTTGTCCCCGGCCCTGGTTGGTTGTGCGGGTGGCGGCCACTCGATGTGTCCCTTCACGTCGATGTTTCTCTCTCTCTCTCTCCCTTCCTCTCTTTCCCTCCCACTCTATCTGTACAAAAAATGGAAAAAATTTCCTCGGGTGAGGATTAAAAAAAAAAAAAAAAAAGAAAAAGTTATATGTAACATATAAATATTAATTATAGCCTGGCCAGTGTGGCTCACTGGTTGAGCGTCAACCTCATGCACCAAGAGGTCGCCGGTTTGATTCCTGGTCAGGGCACATGCCCAGATTGTGGGTCTGATCCCCAGTGGGGGGCATGCAGGAAGTGGCCAATCAATGTTCTCTCTCATCGATGTTTCTAGCTCTCTCTCTCTCTCTCTCTCCCCCCACCTCTCTAAACTCAATAAAGAAAAAATATTTTAAAAATATTAATTATAAGGGAACCAGAATGGCTATATTATCAGATAAAATAAAGGCTATTACTAGAGAAAAGAGATATATTATATGAAGATATACCTTAGGTCATTACATTAAAAATATAAATTTTTTGTAGGAATTTAAAATTTGACTCTAAAATTTAATAGAAATGCAAATGACCTAGAATAGCCAAAACAATTTTGAAAAAGAGGTGCAAAGTTGAAAGACTTTCACTACCTAATTTTAAGAAGTATAATAAAATCATAATTACCAAGACAGTGTGGTGCTGGCTATATGATACACATAATTACTGAAAGAGAATAGAGTCCAAAAAGGAGCACTTATATATATGGTCAATGGATTTTTGACAAAGGTGTCAACCAAGATAATTCAGTGGGTAAAAGGATAGTCTTTTCAACAGATTGGACTGGGGCACAGGTAAACAAGCAAAACAGAGCTCTCAACCCTACTTCACAGTATTAACAAAACTTGATTCAAAATGGATGATCAACCTAAAGGCAAGAGCTTCTAGAAAAAAATCGTTGTGATCTTGAACTAGACACACACCAAAAACAAAACAAAACAAAAAACAAAAAAAACCCACCATAAAACATAAGGATAAATGACTAATTGGACTTCGTCCAAGTTATAAAGTGTCTGGCTTAAAAGGATACCATTAACAAAATGAAAAGGCAAGCCACACACTAAGAGAAAATATTTACAGATTACATATTTGATAAAGAACTTGAATTTAAAATATATAAAGAACCCTTTAACAAAGAAGATATTTGCATAGCAAATAAGTACCTGAAAATATGCTCAACATCATTAATAATTAGGGAAATGCAAATTAAGCCACAATGAAATACCACTACGTACTCACTAGAATGGCTAAAATCAAAATTAGTGACAAAATCAAGTGTTGACAAAGAAGTGGAGAAACTGAAACCTTGTACACTGTAGTTGGGAATGTAAAATGGTATAACTACTTTGGAAAAACAGTTTGGCACTGTCTTAAAAAATTAAGATATACTTACTATAAGACCCAGGAATTCTATTCCTAGATCTACCAAGGGAAATGAAAACATGTATCCACACAAAGACTTCTATGCAAATGATCGTGGCAGCATTATTCATAGTAGCCCCAGACTAGAAAGATTCAAATTTCCTTCAACAGGTAAATAGATATGTTATGTCCATAAATGGATTATTTCTAGGCAATGGAAAGGAATACATCATTAGTAATACAACAACATGAATGAATCTCTAAAACATCATGCCAAATAAAAGAAGACAAACACTAAGACTATATATTATACAGGGGTAGGCAAAAGTAGATTTACAGTTGTGATTATGCAAAATAGTTTATTTTTTTTATTATTTACTGTATTATTTTCCATACAAACAACTGTTAACCTACTTTTTTCCCTCCCCTGTATAACTGCATTTGTAGAAACTTTTCAGAAAAAATTAACTATAGGGACACACAACAAATTAATGGGGCCAGGGGTGGGAGCAGAGATTGTCCTTGTCTTGTCTTGAATCCCAGTAACTACATCGAGATGGGATCAGGCAGTCCCAATTTTCCCAGCATTCCAGTCATAAGGAACCAGATTTCTTTACAAGATAATTATTCCAGATTTAAGGTGCTTCTGGGGAATCACAAACCACTGCCACTTATTCGATGATTGGAAGGTAAGGTAAAGAAATTATAGCTAAATTGACTTAATAGAGCTGTTGGAAACCAATTGTTTAATAAGTGTATAGAAAGAAGGGGAGTGAGGGAAGTTTGATCCTAAAAAAAGAAGCTCTGGAGAATTATTGTAGGGTCTTATTGATCTTTGGTTATGTTTAGGCGATGTTATACACACACACACACACACACACACACGCACGCACGCACTCACGCACGCACGCTGTACTTCTAAGCCTTCACCGTGACCCAGTTGCTACCAAATTCCAGCCGTACTGGAGTTCTATTGGCTTCTCTAATACCTTTTCTTATCTTGACATTCCCAATCTTTCACTTTTATTTCATTTTAACCAAAGAAGTATATGTACATATTTTAAATAAAATATTTCAGAAGGTCTTAAATATAAGAAAAAGTTATTTGACCCATTCTGGCTCTGTATTCAATCCTTTTCCCAAGAGGCAGCCACTTTGAACAGTTTTAGCTATTTTTTTTCTGGTAGGTGGCTCAACTGAATGTAGTTATCTTTAAATAATGTTTATACTCGATTCCTGATTTAACAATCAATAAACTGTGCTGATTTCATTCATTTATTGCCATTTCTTGGTTTTCAAATTTTAGATAGTATCTGTTGACTTCCACTAAAAAATAAAAGGATTTTAAATCTCTTTACTCCTCACTCTCCACCTACCACCACCACACATGTATGCATTTCTCATCCTCTCATCCTCCGAAACAGTAATGATTCAACTATTCCAGTCTAGAGCCTTCTATGCCTGAGCTACTATCATTGTCAGGCGGTCATACTTTGCCATCATTCTGATTTTTTTCTTTCAACTTTCTCGTTTTAGATCTGTACTCCATGTCTTCCCCTTGGTTTACTCCCTTGATTTGAAGGGAATAAATAGGATAAAGGTATATCTGAGTAGATTCTTAAGTAACAGCATGTAGGAAGTACATTTTTTTGAAAATTTGGTCATTAGTAGAATGGATGAATTCTAATTTGGAAATGAATTTTATTCAAATAAGGTATAACACTTATTTTCTAACTTCCAACCCATTATACTCTCTATAGATAACTTTTTCTTTTCTTTTTTTTTTTTTAGTTTCTGGAAGCTTGATTCCCAATATTTGAAATTTTACAATAATGCTCCTTGGATTGAATGTGTTTTCATCCATTTTGCTGGGTAGTCTGGGTTCATTCAGTCTGGAAATGTACATTCCTTAGCTGTGGGATATTTTCTTGAATTATCTGTACTGTGCTTTCTTTTTAAAAATATAATAATAATTTTTCTTTATTGATTTTAGAGAGAGAGGAAGGGAGAGGGAGATAGTAACATCGATGACAGAGAATATCGACTGGCCACCTCCTGCATGCCCCACATTAGGAATCATGCCCACAACCTTGGCATGTGCCCTGACTGGACACCGGACCAGCAACCTCTTGGTGCATGGGTTGACACTCAACCACTGAGCCACACCAGCTGGGCTGTACTGTGCTTTCTTTCTTCCACTTCTTTATTCTATCTGTGCTCCTATTACTCCAATATTGGATTTTCTAAACTGGTCCTTTACTGATTCTCTCCTAGTTTTCATTGTGCCTATCTGCTCTTTTTGTTAAGTTTTCAACATTATCTTCTGGATCTTCTACTAAGTTTTTTGGATATTTTAAATTCTAATTGTTCTGTCTGATGCTTATTCCTATTGTTTCTTAGATATCTTGAATGCAATACCTTCTGTAATTCTCTGATGATATTAATGATAGTCCTTACCCTCTCAAGTTGCTTTATGCTATTTGTTTTAGTATTTGATCTCTTGTTAGAGGATTGCCCAGATTTTTCATAATGCTTGGTAGCCTGTTTAAGAGTTGGGGATGAAAAGGCTGCTTGAAACACATCCATGGGGCCTAGTGGCCTAGGCTTCACTGTGGAAAGATTAAGCCAAGAATTATTTAGAGATCAGCATCTTAGTCTTTCCTCTGTCTTGGGCAGGTATCTCAGATAAGATTCTTTCAATCCTCTATACAGGGTGAGGGTGGGGAGTAAAAGCCTGGCTCTCATTGTCTGGGAACTAGTAGGGAATACACACACTCTCTCTCCTCCTATTTTCCATTCTGAATCTCTGCACTCAGTAGTACTTGGCATCCCTCAATCAAGAAACCACTCTGTTTTACTCTCTCCAGAGAACAAACTAATTGGATGGAAATTGACTTAGGAAGAAGGATTCTACAGTTTTAACAGCTCCTTAAATGGCTTTCAACCAATTCTACTTATTTCAGTAGTAGTCTTCCCTTTGCCCCCACTAAGGTACCAGCTATTGCTAACTCCTTTCAAAGCTTCTGCAGTGCAAACTGGATCAGCTCTTGATTTCCCATTGCTGGAACAGGATAAAACTGCTAACTCAGTCATATTTAATACTCTCCAGCCTCTGATACAGTTCCTCAGTCAATGTGGATTTATACTTAAAACAAGTAAAGCACCATCCCTTTATAGTAGTCTTAGTGGGGTTTTGGAAGGGAATCAAATTAGGTGTTTGTTCAATCTGCTACATTTCTGGACTCTTTTTTTTAATTTTCTCATTCTGAAATGATTCAAATCCACCTGAAACAACTGCTCTAATACAAAAGTAGGTTTACAGTTGTAAGTATGCAAAACAGAGTTTATTCTTTTATTATTATTTACTGTATTATTTTCCATACGAACAACTGTAAACCTACTTTTACTCACCCTGTGTTGGTGATTCTGGGCAAATTATTTAAATATGCACAATAGAAGCCAAATGCCTAAATTTCATATCACTTGACTGTTGTCAAAAATAGGCAAAATGTGTGCCCATTCAAGAAGAATGTACTGTATTAAACTAAGTTCTATTGCTATCTTATTACAGGAAGATACTATTTCTCTAGTTGTAGGATGAGTTGTTTTTCCATCAGAGATGATGCACTGTATGATCTTTCCTTGTCTTCTTTGTCCCTCATTTACAAGTCAGCTTTTAGATTAGCAATACAATGTACAGATTTATGTTTCCCCCAGACAGGTGATCATCAATTCACTTATATGAAATGTAATAAAATAATGACTTCAGCTTCCTTATGTTCTAACCAAAGCAATGAAGACTTCATGTTGTTTGGGTATGTGCTGCTGATATGTGTGTGAATTTTTAATATAAATATTTTATATCTCCTTCCAGGCATCCAGATTATGATAATAGCAAGTTAGCAGACCACACCATTCAGAAGGGACAGGAAATTAATCCCCAGAAAAGAGGAAATTAGATACTACTTGAGAGGGTGAGGCATCCAGCTCCTAAAAAAAAACCCTTCTGATTTAACACAGTATTATCACCTTCAAAGTGTTTGGTAAATATTAAGCTTTCTTTTCACACCTTCAAAGACTTAAAGCACCACACAGGTAGCTTACAGGCACTCTGCAGCTCCAAAATGCTTTAATTAAAATTATAAAGCTATAATTCTGCCATCAACTGGTATTTAGGAAACCTGGATTCTAGTCCCAGCTCTATTCTAAAGCAGCTGTGTGCATGGACTACTCAGGCCTGCTTGGACTATCCATCCATGAAACAGTTATTCCTATCACGCTTCCACCATTGATTTCCTACTGCTAGCAGAAAGCAAAAATAAATCTAAAGTATTAATTCATTTAAACAATTTAAATATATTTTAAATACTAATGTCAACATTTTTTGGTCTAGATGACAGAAAAGTTTAGTATGACTACCCATCAACTGCATAAAAATCTTACCTCTAAAAGTATCAATTTTACCAAGCTACATAGTAATTAAAAGTATTTATTATACATTTCTGTTAATTTACATTAAATATACAGTAATATAAAAGGACATTAAATTTACATTAAATGTACTTTTCTTTCATCTCAAGTTGTTAGGTAATATAAGACTCATCTAAACCAGTTTTATTTTTTTTAATCTTTATATTTAAGTTTTTAATGAATAATATTTGGGTGGGATATGAGGTATAAAATCATGCTATTTTTTTATATTTCAAGTGATCAGGACCTCATCTGTAAGATAAAATGATTTTTGCAAAATATTTCATTATTTGTCATATTGGTCAGTCATAAAATGAGCTTGATTGTACTGCAACTGGATTTTTCTACTTCATTGAAGAATGTTTTAATAAATAAAGTGGCAATTAAAATGGTTTCAAGAAAAGAATTGAAAGAAAGGGGCGTTTCACATTCTACTCAGAATTACCATAATATATTTAAGAGGTACGATTTATGTATGATCTACATGCTTTGATCTGTTGTGCCTTGGTTCAAATTCTAGCTTTTACCACTGTCTTGCTCTGTGCACTCTAGGCATGCCATTTAATTGGGGGTCTGCCATCTCACTTCAAATGTGTTGTGAGGATAAAATGAAGTCAACAAAAATATTCTAAAAAGAATAAAGGAAATTAATACACAAATATTGCTTCTGTGTCTAATTAGCTCAATTATTTAAGTGCCTGCATAGGGGAGGACTGGGGCCCTGCTCTTATTTTATTCCATTAGTTTCTTTCTAAACCCCATCCTATCTTTCACAAAGCCAAAGAGGCCCAAGGATACCTATACATTTATCTACATACTTTACTATCGCCGGAAATAACCTCCTTATTACTCTTTCTCAGGCCTTGCTTTCAACCAGACCAGTTATCTGTCATAGTGTAGACTCAAGACATATTCCACCTTTTGTGTACCCTGTCAAGATTTTTCTCTCGTGAGGCAACATCAAGAACAGAAATCTATCAGGAAGATAAGGATGCATGAGTACATTGAAACCACAGTTCTCTAACGGCTTTCTAAGCCTACAGGTGGGAATTGCTTATAGCCCATGGTCACCGAGCAGATGAAAGCAGCTCTCAAAAGCAGAGCACGACATGCACTGTGAGGCGTCATTCTTTAAAAGTCTTCTCGATGGAAAAGCGCCTGGAAATGTCAGATAGGTGTTCAGGAAAAAAATGGAAAATTTCTGGTCTCAAGTTTCTGTATCGCTACTGTGCCTTACACAGGAAACTGACAGGGGGGTGGGGCCGGTTTTCTTTCGAGTACTCAGCATTGCTACACGGTTGCTCTGGTAGGGAAGGCTGCGATGGCCTTGGCTCTGGTGGAGTGGGCTTTAACTCAGGGACGTGAGAAACAAAAGTGGCGTTTCTGCCATGTGACAAAACAAGCCCCTACAGTCACGCACATCTGCAACATGCATCCCTTGGGCAGTTTCTTCCCAATTCCCTCCCTTAATGAGAAAGAGCGCGCCCTTGTGGGCCCATTACCATCCTGCAGGATGAGGGTGGGCTGCACCGCCTGCACTCGGAACTGCCTGGCCCTCCAGCCGGGGCTGGGTGCTCGCACCACCTCACTGTCGGACAGCCAGGTCACGGTCTCAAAGTTGTCTCCGCGAGCCAGTGCCTCGGCCTCGGCATGGTGCACGGCCACCCGGTCAAACTGGTAAAGGCCGCCAGAGTGGTCGAAGTGCACGTGGGTGGCCACAGCCAGCAGCGGCCTGCATGCCGCATCCTCTTTGGCCCCGCCGTCCTGCAAGAGGCCGGAGGAGTACAGGTACTCCGGTAGGCTACGCAGCCCCAGGCCGGTGTCGATCACCACGTCCTGCTCGGAGCCGCGCACCAGCCAGATATTGGCGCGGTTACCCGACTCATAGAAGCGTTCCTGAATCCAGAAGATGCCGTCGCCCAGGGACTTGTGGGCGTACCACTCGAGTGCCGACATGCTGGGCAGGGGTGCGGCCGGGCAGAGTGGATGTGGGCGTGTGTGCCTCCAGCAGGCTGTCCAGACTCTAGGCGCTGCGGCTGTGTAGGGCGATCTGCCTGCAGCCAGGGAGGAGGTGCAGATCGAGGAGGGGGCGGGGGATGAGGATGGTGCGGGCGGGGGAGAACTGGGAGGTAGGAGGTGCAGAGACGCTGCCTGGAGCAGCTACTCGCACTCTCCCGCTCGGTCCGCAGAGAGCAGAGTCGGCCCGCACTGGGGCGCTGGAGCAATCGCAGCCTCAGCCGCAGCGCGAGGGAACGTGAACGCAAGGGCCACTGCAGCCGACTGGAAATTCAGGAGGCGACGCTTCCCCCACCTCGGGGCTCTGACTGCGGAGCCGGGAGCCAGACGTAGGATGCACCAGGTCCGCCCACCGACCGCGCTCTGCGACGCGCACTTCCAGCCGGCGCACAAAGAGTCAGGCCTAGCGGTTTGGCCCACTACGGCTCCTGCCAAGGGCTAAAAAGCCTTCTCCCGGCGGGCGGGTGGAGCTTAGCGAGGGAGTGGGCGGGGCTAATTGGTTGGGATCGGAACTCGGCTCTGCGGCCGCGTGGAGGGTGGCTCGTCTCCAGAGGGGGTACCATCGCCGGAGCGCAGGCGCCTTCTGTCCGCATCGGTCCTTAGCCTGCCGGCGCTTCGGCTGCACAGTTTTGCCCAAGCCTCGATTCTTAGTGAGCAGGTAACAGAAAAAGTAATTGAAGACTTGGGAGGACATGGAAAGGGTAGAAATGAGTTAAAGGGCACATGGAGAAGGTGGGGGAGGTCAGGGGTGGAGATTCATTAAAGAGCCTCTAGGTTGAGAGTCGTTGAGAGATAGCTTTACCTTTAATCCCTTAAAAATCTTAAAATAATCGTTTCCAGGTCTTACCTAGTCTCTTCCTGGGACTGTTTGCAGTGAGTTAGAAAGGAATGTATGCTCTTAACTGATGGAAGATTTTCAAATCCGGTGACTGTGTGATTGATTCAGACACAAATCATTGCCGCAGACTTTTCTTCCCTGTATCTTGGGGAGAGAGATTGTTGATAAGATTTTTCTTCTCTTCAAAAGTTAAATTCTATATTCTTTCTTTACTTTATTTATTTATTTATTTATTTATTTATTTTTGGCTAGTTTATTCACTATTGGAAAAGAGCAAAGCATGTTGGTAGAAAGGTTAAACTAAGGAATGTGAAAGCAGCCACTTTGTGAAGACAGAAAAAGTGTATAATAACTGGGTGTAGCCCTGCCAGCCACATAAATCACCCCACCATTAACACCAGGTCTCTGTCCCCACCCTGTGCCTCCCAGCTGTTGAAACATCCATTTAGTCTTTAAAAATTCCCCTGAGAACTTGACTAATCTCCAGTCAGCCAGGAAAAATTAGAGACCCGTGAGACAGCATTATAAAAAGATATTTATGAAAACCCTTAGTGTGACATCTACTGATAAGCCTCCATACAAGAATAGGTGTACTTTCCTATACTCCTAAAGTTTTTGGTGGGGATGTAGCCTTTTTTAATATTTTCCTAACCTACTTAGAATTTTTTACTCTGGTCAGGGCTATCCTTATGTGCAAGTCCCTGAACTAGATGATGCGTGAAGAAAGTAATAATCTGGGTTCTCAAGAATTTGAGGGAAGACAGTGGGGGTGTATGAAATCTCTACTGTTAATACAGTAGAATAAACAAACAAAAAAATATCAGTGAAACTCCTTCCCTTTGGCAAAGGCCCATTTCCCAAAAGAGCATATCTATATTTCTTCCAGAATTGAGGTGTGTAGCAGTATGTATCACCTCAAGTTTTAAAAATCCATTTAAAAGTCCAGGAGGGTCTTTCCAAGACCAAAGTGGGATGAAATGACTCTTGTGACTGTTGAGGGACTTAAACTGGATTTTTTTTTCTTTATTGATTATAGAGAGAGAGGAAGGGAGAGAGAGCTAGAAACATCGATGAGAGAGAACATCAATTGGCCGCCTCCTGCATGCCCCTCCTGGGGATCTGGCCCACAACCTGGGCTTGGGCCCTGACCAGGAATTGAATCCGCGGCCTCTTGGTACATGGGTCAACGCTCAATCCCGAGCCACACCGGATGGGCCTTAAACTGGATCTTAAGGTGAAAACTGATGCAGCCAGTCAGAGAGAAAGAGGGAGTAAGCTCCAGTGGAGAGAATCATAGTGAAGACATTCCAAAAGAATGAGTCAGGAGGGTAGGTGCAACCATCATAAAAGGGTTCTGAATACTTGGATAGGGAGTTTGGATTTAATTCTCTAACCTAGAGGAAAGAAGAGAAGAGTAGCATAATCAGAATTAGGCTTTAAGGTGATTAAGAACTATGAATAATGTGGAAGAATAAATTAAAATAAACATGGAATTTGCAGTTAGTTAGAAATAAGGTGGAGAAGGGCTCAGTTGGATGGTGGTAGAAGAAATGAAAAGGCAGGGACTTTTTGAAGGTGGAATTAGATGATTGAGTTGATAGGAGGGGTGGAACGGAATGAGAAATCCATACTCACTCCAAATCTTCAAATATTAGTGGCTGGGAAAAGAACATACCGTGGATAGAAATAAGGATCTTATACATGAAAGGCAAGCTAGTAGTGTAGAAGGAAGATTATCTCAGCATATTAGGTTTAATGTGCTGTCCAAATATTCTTTTGATAGTAAGCACGTGGGCTGGAACTCAGGACAAAGGTTAGTGCTGGTGATAATGGTGTGGGAGAGGTCATCAAGCCCCGAGAGTGGGTGCGTTTTCTGAAGAAAAAAAAAAAAAAAGAGCGGAGACCAAAGATCAGATCTTAAAGAAATTTATTTTTAGGGGGTTTAAAAAGAGAGGTAGATCAAAAAATAAAGATCAGTGGGATAGAAGAACCTGGAGTTTTATTAAAGCCTAGAAAAGAGAGAGTTTCAAAAGAGAAGAGGCAGTAATGAGCTGTGTGCTTTGGAAGTCCAAGAGCATGAACAAAGACAAAAGGTCAGTGGATTTTGCCATTGGGGACAATTGGGACCATTGGGACCTTTGCATTTCAGCAGCATCGTGAGTGTCGTTCTCATCCCAAGTAAGATAAAAGCCAAACCCTTTGCCACAGCTCTCACAAGGCTCCACAGATTGGGTCTTGACTAACCTTTTTTTGCTGCCTCACCAAATTACATGGGCTTCTTGTTCTTTTTTTTTTCCCCATTGATTTTAGAGAAAAGAAGGGAGAGAGAGAGAGAGAAACATCAGTTGCTTGCTGCACCTGCCCCAGTTAGGGATTGAACCCACAACCTAGGTATGTGCCTTGACTGGGAACTGAACCCAACATCTTTATGTGTACAGGACAGGACAGTGCTCTGAGCCACACCAGCCATGGGGGTGGGCTTGTTCTTCAGACACCCCCAACTTGTGGCTTCCTTCTCTGCACTTGCTGTTACTTTTCTCCGTAATCATCTCCACCCCACCCCTCCATCTAGTGGCTCACAGACCTTCTCCAGCACTCTGCTCAAATTTATCCTCCACAGAGACTTTCCTTGTATGAAAAAGCCACTACCATAATCCCTTGTTATTCTCTATCCTCTTACCATGACTTTTTTTTTTGGAGCTGTAAACTGGATGGCTTTAAACAACAGAAATTTATTCTCTCAGTTTCTCCAGGTACACTAGAACTGACATATGATAACCAAACTAAAAAGAGATGGTTTGTAGGCCAGAACACCGTGTCATTATTAAGGGTGTCTGAAGAACTAGGACTGATTTTTCTGCCAAGGACAGTACATTCCCTAATGATAGCACTTACACACCTAAAGGTTGCTTTGATAAAAACAGAAGTTTAGAGGCAGCACAGTTTGATATTTCTCAGGGATATTCCATCAAGCAGTGGTAGCTAATAGACTCTTTTTAAGGTGAGTTTTCCAACTACCCAGGACCCACCTCTGAAGATTCTGGTGTAGTAGGTTTGGGAATCTGTTTAATAAGTCTTCACAGTAATTCTCATGATCAGGCTAGTTTGGGAGACATTACCTAGAATTGTTCTTAATCTTTAATTAGTGGCAAATCCTGGATTGGAATTCTGCCTGGTGGTCTTGACCATATCTACTGGGCTCCCTCAGTTCATTTCTTATTCTAAAGGTATGAGCCCTTCTGCTTAGCAGTTTACATACTTGGGAGACCTTTCTTCTGTAAGCTCAGTCTATGCTTTAATGACAGCAATTGAAATACAGCCATTTGGATATTTTCTTTTAGTGTGGACAGCTGAAATGAGCTTGATTGTTAAAATAAGCACTTTTCCTACCTTTCCTATATGAATTGTTTCATAGTAACTAAATAGTGGATGAGGGGAATTGATTCCTGGTAGAATTTCAGTTAATAAATACAGAAAGAATGATAAAATTTGTATATCACCACATTGCAATCCATAATGAAATAATTTATCCAGCTGTGATCATCATTGGCTGCTAACATCATCAAGTGAAAACTGAGGGGGCATTTTATACTAGATGAAACAGGCTGACAGCACCTGAACCCACTGACAAGGGAACATCCCAAGTCAGACACTTCATGTGCATCCTGATGTGAAGCAGTAGGAAAACAAGCATCTCTTTTAAGTATTCTTGCAAAAAATCAAACCCAAATTTGAGTAAGCCTCTAGTCCACCTGTTTATAGAAAATACTGGGAATAGAGGAATGTGTTAAACCTTATCTCATGTGTGCAACCATTCAAATCCAAAATATGGGACAACGTACAGCCTTGTTACTCTCAAAGTGTGGTCTGCAAACCAGCAGCATTGATATCTCTTGAGAGCTTATTGGAAATGCAGATTCTCAAGGCCTGCCCAAAGCCAACTGAATCAGAATCTGCATTTTAACAAAATATCCAGGTAAATCGCATGTACCTTACAGTTGGAGAAGCATTGTATGTACAATGACCTTGTTTTTTAAAATAAATAAATAGCAAGGGGAAAGGGGGAGGGAACTGTTACAGTGGCATGGGAGGGCATATTATTGCTTTTTGAGCTTATAGGGTTGAA